AGTTTTAGTTAACAATGTAACTGGTAAGTACTGCAACATTGCATGGTAAGTCTTAGTTGACAATGTAACTGGTAAGTACTGCAACATTGCATGGTAAGTCTTAGTTAATAATGTAACTGGTAGATACTGCAACATTGCTAGGTAAGTCTTAATTGACAATGTGGCTTTGCACTTTACTCTCTTCAATCCAAAAACTCTGCTTTGGCTGATCATGTATAAAATAGTTGACTGACTTTCATTGTGTTTTTTTTGGTTTCCATTTATATTTAACTGATCTTGTTTCATAGTTGGTTGAGGATACTGAAATGACTACTGTCACTAGATTTTACATTATGAATTTCATAGTAAAACAAGAAGTTTATTGTGTGTTTTTTTGCATTTTTTGTGTATTTTATTAAAATCGTGAAATTGAATACTGGTAATGAAATGAATAACTTTTAGTTCTGATGACTAAGGCAAGCAGACAATTTCCTTTTCTTAACCAAAATTATAACCCCTAAAAATTTGTTTTTAAAAAATAACCTGTATCAATTATATTAACATGTTGCAAATAGCCTACTTGTACACTAACTTTAAAATAATGACATGTTTTGAACATCAATGAATTTTCTGAAAATTAGTTTGAACGCTGTTTATGTATTCATTCTCATCGATACACATAGAAATAATACAGTGAGATTTTTGTTTTGTATGGAGAACCCCCCCCCCCCACTAAACAAAGCAATTACATTTGTCATGTACATGTTTTAATTATTCACAGCCTCCAGTGTGCTTTTCTGATTTATTGTTCCCGATACCTTCAATTTGGAAGCAATGATTTCATTTTAACTTTAAAAGTACATTTATCTTTTGAGGAAAGTAAGAGTAATTACCTGAAACCTGGAATGTGATTTGTTGTAGGTGTAAGTCCACCTGACTTTGACAATCAAACGTTAGCAGTGTTACGAGGACGGTTGGTGCGCTATCTTATGAGATCCAGAGAGGTATGTTGTACTTATATTAGCATTACATGTAAACTGTGTACTGTAGAGGCAGGAATATTCATTCATTTATTTTAATGGTTTTGATGTGGCAGAGACTTTTACCCTGTTTTAAATTCACTGCTTTATGAAATGCTACATAAATGGTTGAATGTGCCTGCCCACCAGCCATTTGAAATGTCAAAGTGAAATCTTGTATATCAAGCATGTTGACTGCTGGTAAGAGACATCTGTGTAAGAAATGAAATATCATGTGATATCATTAATCACCACTAATTATCATTAAACAATGTTATCTTTGACTTCTCTTTGTAATCTACCAGCTCCATTGCTTTGATATTTAAGGTGTACATAATTTCTGTGACAATTTTGTTGATAAAGATAGGTTGGCATGTTCTCAACGGCCAGAACTAATAAAACTACTTTTCGTGGATTAACTGCATTTTTAGTCCCTGTTCAGGCACAGCCTGAAAAGGAGACTAATTTCTGCTTTCCGTCCGTCCTGTTTCCTTTACCTCTTCAACATTTTCTCAGAAATTTTGTCGCAAATATCAATGAAACTTGGCAGGTTGATAAACAAGTCTGTTGAATATGCACATAATTTTTTTTCCAGATCTGAAAATCATAAGTGTGTCGTTTTCATGATTTTCATCCAAAATTACCTCTCTCAACAACACTGAGAGAACAACTGAGCATGCTCAGAATAAATAATTAGGTTAGATGTAATGCTAGGGTTTTCAGTGACAGAAATGGACTACAGTCTGGTTTTTGTTTGATTTTATGATAAATTAATGTTGAAATCTTGAAAAAAAAGTGGCCAGAAATGTAGCTGTATACTATATTTTTAAACTGTAAAAATTGCATTCCATTATAAAGAGCCATCACTGAAATACCAGGTCACAAAGCTGAAGATCAGTGAAAATACATTGCAGTTTCTGTTTATAAATATTGGCCAGCACATTGACACTTGTGGTTCAAATATAAATCAGTGGAAACTGTAGAGGGGGGGGTCAGGGCTACATTTTGATGAGAATTATAGTGATGATACTGAAACAAACACAGTTCCTGGTAATCTACAAAGACCTGAATTAACAAAGAAGTTGCTATTAAAGATACATCAAGGTTTACTCAGAATTATGAATGCAGTTTCTTAAGCATGCATACATGTATGAGACATAGTTTGGTTGCACTTGTGTTTTGGACATGGGTCAATGGAAGTTTTAAGTTATCAGTACAATACTAGGTTAAAGGAAATCACTTTATGATGAGTTGTACCCACATAGAATACATATTATTAGTTCACCTGTTCGCAGATATTCCATGTATTATTTTAATACGAGTATTTTATAATTAAATGACAGGGACTGTGACATTCATGTCTTGTATTTTATGGGTGTACATTTCATGTCTTTGATACCACATTGTTTTAAAATACAGTTTGCTTACTACACTAAGCCTAAGTCAACTTGTGCCCAGGGTATTCAGCTCCAAAAAAACATGCTTAGTACCCTTCTCTTGAAACATTATTCAAATGTCAATTTTCATTCACTACATGTATGTGCCAGATTAGGGGGAATATTATGTGTCTTTGGAGGAAAAATCTGATAGTAAATTTGGTTGAGTTGTCATTGATTTCTGCAACACTTTTACAATGAAGAAACCAAATGTTCAATCAAAAATACACAAATTGTATTACATGCATTTACAAACAATCAGAATTTACAGTGTAAAATTATTTAAGACAAGATCTTCATCATTATCAATAGTATGCAGACTGTCGATACAAAAAAATTTCTGCCATGTTATTTTTTGCACAATTTGACCTGCAACTATATCTTCTCTGTCAGGTCAAGTCTGTTAACCTACCAGAGTTCTGTGTTCTACTTACGTGATTCTCCAGGAATTTCTAAATATTGACGATGACATTTTTTAGAGCAAAACAGAAGTGAATTTCCGCAGTGTTTAAATAGGATCTTTTGCCACTGATTTCAACAAAAAGATTTTTTTTAAATATTTGTTGATGGGTAAATTGAATTTGCAATTAGTATTCAGGTCATATGGAATCATAGTTTACCCGTCTGACACCCTATTCATGGTAGTGACAATAATAATTAGTCAAAACAGTGAATAGTTTGACAGGCAAATTTGGGATGTTTTGGAAGGGCTGAGCGCTCAGCAGGATGCGTACAGTAATTATTTCCTATGTGCAGTGATCATCTTAGAGGGTGCACTGTCAAGATAATTATCCCTGTATTATCTAATTCTTGTTTGCTCTAAGCTATTGTTTTTTACATCACACGTGTGTATTATCTAATTCTTGTTTACTCTAAGCTATTATTCTTTACATCACACATGTGTATTATCTAATTCTTGTTTGCTCTAAGCTATTGTTCTTTACATCACACACCGCTGTTTATGTTTTAACGTCTTTCATGTCTATTGTAGGAGTGTCCAATCCGTGATTCGAACTTGCGATCTTTTAGTTCCCAGCGCACTGTCTTGTCCACTGTACCACGAGTGTCTTCACACAGGAGTTAGGATTTAAGTCCTATTCATAGGAGCACTGTCTTCACTAGCATTCAAAAATCTAACTAAACATACTGGATTCAAACCAGCGATCGCTCACATTACCGACATAGTACAAATCAACTGAGCTATGTGGGTAGTCATGCAAATTAAATAATTTGTTGTCATATTTAGCTTTATTGCCAAATGGTGTTTGCGAGAAAAAAATGGGCAGGCAAGGGAATTGAACCCAGGTCCTCCTGATCACTATGTAGAGAACTGACCCACAAGACACAATGGATTGACTGGATGTGTTTGCATTTGATAAGACTATATAGTGTGTATATATATAGAAATACAACATATTTCTATTATTGAGTTACAATTGTCAAAAAAATTGCCAATTTTGTGTTTTTACTTGTGTAAACTATATGCATGCCATAACCCGTTAGTGTACATCTTGCCAATTGGGTGTTTGCCATTTGCGTTGCCCATACCTGACCCGACCCTAACCCTAATGCCAAGACACGTTCCTGTTTATAATTGCTTAATAATGATACTCTGTTGTGCACTGTCTGCGGGTAAGTTGCATTGATGTCAACTGATTAAACTGATTAAGTCGCGTTTAATTATTTTACACCATTACAAGTTGTTAAATTGAGAGAATAAATGTCTCAACAAATATTTAATACTTAATTTGATGTAAACAACTCACGTTTGATTAATTCCCACAATTACAGGTTGTTAAATTGAAAGAATAAATGTGCGGACAAATATTTTAGACTTACATGTATTTTGGTGTAGACAGCTCTCGTTTAATTATTTTACACCATTACAAGTTGTTAAATTGAGAGAATAAGTGTGCGGACAAATATTTTAGACTTATTTTGGTGTAGACAGCTCTCGTTTGATTAATTCCCACAATTACAAGTTGTTAAATTGAGAGAATAAATGTGCGGACAAATATTTTAGACTTATTTTGGTGTAGACAGCTCTCGTTTAATTATTTTACACAATTACAAGTTGTTAAATTGAGAGAATAAATGTATGGACAAGTATTTGAAACTTATTTTGGTGTAGACAACTCTCATTTGATTAATTCCAACAATTACAAGTTTTTAAATTGACAGAATGAATGTATGGACAAATATTGACCATTATATTTGTGAGTAAATACCTGTTGTTTAATTAATTTCCACCTCTACAAGGTTGAGAGAATAAATGTGTCGACAAATATTTGATACTTATTTAGGTGTAAGAACTCGTATTTGACCAACTTCCACCATTGCAAGTTGTTAAAATAATGAAAT